CAGAGTTCAAAACGTTGCTTATAAATATGTTCAATGAACGTTAAGAGAAGAGTAGATGAACTCAGTGAGAACTTTAAAAAAGAGATGGAAAACATAAAAATGAAGATAGAAAACAAAAAAGAACCAGTTACAAGTGAAGAATGCAATAACTGAAATAAAGAATGCATTAGAGGAAATCGACAGTAGATTAGATGAAGCAGAGAATCAAATCAGCAATTTGGAACATAAGGTAGCAGAAAACACCCAATCAGAACAATAAGAAAAAAAGAATAAAAAAAATGAGGATAGTTTAAGGGGCCTCAGGGACAACATCAAGTGTACCAACATTTGCACTATAGGGGTACCAGAATGAGCAGAGATAGAGCAAGGAATTGAAAACTTATTTGAAGAAATAATGATGAAAAGCTTTCCTAACCTGGCGAAGGAAATACACATGCAGGCCTAGGAAGTGCAGAGTCCCAAACAAGATGACCCACATCAAGACACATCATAATTAAAGTGCCAAAAGTTAAAGACAGAGAGAATCTTAAAAGCAACAAGAGAAAAGCCTCTATTACCTACAAGGGAGCTCCCCATAAGACTGTCAGCCGATTTCTCGACAAGAATTTTGCAGGCTAGCAGGGATTGGCACAAACTGAAAAAGCGAGGACCTACAATCAAAGTGCTGAAAAGCGAGGACCTACAACCAAGATTACTCTACCCAGCAAAGCTATCATTTAGAATCCAAGGACAGATTAAGAGCTTCCCAGACAAGAAAAAGCTAAAGGAGTTCATCACTACCAAACCAATATTACAAAATAATGTTAGAGGGACTTCTTTAAGAGGAAGAAGAAAATAAAAAAGATAAAAAATATGGACAAAATGGCAGTAACTACATATATATCAAAAATTGCTTTGAGGACGTGGTTCCATAGTGTAGCAGTTAGCAAGTCTGCTTTACACACAGAAGGTCCTGGGTTTGCACCCCAGTGGAGCCACGGTCCATGGTCTATGGCCATGCCACCATGAACAAGCCCGATGTCTGATCTCGGAAGCTAAGCAGGGTCAGGCCTGGTTAGTACTTGGATGGGAGACCATCTATGAAGACCAGGTGCTATAAGCATAAATACTACTAATAAAAAAAATTGCTTTGAATATGAATGGGTTGAATGATTTAATCAAAAGATAGGGTGACTAAATGAATAAGAAAAAAAGACCCTTACACAGGCTGCCTACAAGAGACTCACTACGGATCAAAAGACTCACATACTGAAAATAAAGGGATAGAAAAAGGTATTTCATGAAAATGGAAATGAAAATAAAAAAGTTGGGGTGGTAATCCATAGACTTTAAAACAAAGGCTATAACAAGAGACAAAAAAGGACCCAGTTATCTTACTTCTGGGTATTTATCTGAAGAAACCCAAAAGACTAATTCGAAAAAATATACATCCATATGTTCACTGCAGCATTATTTACAATATGCTGCAATGGAGGCAACCTGGGTGTCCATCAGTGGATGAATGGATAAGGGAGAGGTGGTACATATATACAATGGAATATTATTCATCTATTAAAAAAAAAAAAAAGAAATCTTGCCATCTGCAACGACATGGATGGACCTAGAGGGTATTGTGTTGAATGGAGTAAGTCAGACAGAGAAAGACAAATGTCATATGATTTCACTTATATGTGGAATCTAGAGAATGGTATAAACAAACAAAACAGAAACGAGCTCACAGATACAAAGAGTACTTTGATTGTTTCCAGATTGGGGAGGGGGAAAGGGGAGGGGATTAAGATGTACAAATTGGTAGTTACAAAACAGCCATGAGGATGTGTATCACATCATGGAGAGTACAGTCAGTAGTATTGTAAAAACTATGTATGGTGTCAGATGGGTACTGGATTTATCAGGGTGATCACTTCTTAAGTTATATGAATGTCTAATCACTATGTTGTACACTTAAAACTAATATAATATTGTATGTCAACTTTAATTAAAAAATAAAAATATAACACATTTTTTAAAAAGTGACATGAAATAAAAGTGCTTTTACATTCAGGTGGAGAGGGAATAAATTAAGTGAGAAGGGGATAAAAAAAATAGAAGTTACTAATAGCCAGGATAGGTTCTCTGCTTTGTTGGCATAGAAACCTGGACTAATTTTTAAACTAAAGTATCAATTCTATTCACTTATAAACTGAGTGATCATTTGCTTATGATATTCTCTCCAATGAATGAATCCATTCGGGGGTGAAAGGTAGGTGTGGGAGTGATGAGCGTGAGTGGTAAGGAGCAAGATAATTCCTGTTATGAGCCAGAGGTAACAGGAAGGCCAGTGATCATGGTGGAGTTAAGAGAGATGTCAAAGACAGTCTGGCAAAAATAGTCAGGCCAAGCCTATCAAGGGCTCTATAACATGAAGAGACTCATTAGCCAAATGCTCAAACCACCTTAAGATTTATAAGGACTGTAATACAACTGATTAGTCTCTCTAATTGGTCTAATAGGTTACAGTTTCTTTAGTTATATTATATTAGCCTTCAGAGGATACTGTCTGCCCAACTTAATTCACTTGCAAACTCCTAAATTCCAACAGCAACCTATTTGTGTCTTTCTACAAATGATTATTCTTTTTCATGTTAACTTTTCACTAGTTTAAATATCTGAAGTTGATCTTTTTCTAATGCCTATTTTGCCAATATCTGCGAAGATTTTGCACCTCTTTTAGGATAAAGCACATACTAATAATACACAGGAACATATTTCCATACTTATTTCTTATCCACATTCCAAATAATGCTTAAATATTAAATATAATTTCAGCATTATGAATTTATTCTATTATCCCATGAACTTTACATGATATGAATTATCTTTCTAACAGTATTTTTAACTTCTATTTAAATGCATTTATTAGGCACTTAGTGCATACCCAACGGCCTTAGGTATTGGTGTAACACAGAAGACTAAGGTTCTAGTAGCATGACAGAAATAAGGCCAGTGGTATCAGTTTAACAGAAAAGGGAGTGATTAACTCTTTCTAGGGGAGTTGGCAAATTTTTCCAAGAAATGAATCAGGCCGAGTCTGAAAGGATGAACAGGAGTTGACTAGGCACTGGAAAAGTGTAAAGAAGTCCTTAACACTTCCTCCCTAAACTTGGTAATGACCAAGGTATTTAATTTAAAATAACAGGAAAAGAAAGAGCAAAATGACAATAACACAAGAAGAAATCCTGTTCACTTCATGCTTGGGTTGGGGGGGGGTTGTGCCTTTAAATACACTTCAGATTTGAAAGTAAATGTTTATAAAACATGATTCACAATCAAAGGAAAGGGGTAAAGGAGGAAGAAATTAAATTTTTGTCCTATCAAGGTAAACAAATGAGTAAAAATACCAACATCCATGCTTGAGAACACATATTACTTTTCATAAAGATCGTAAGTTTGAAAACAAAAGCCTTGGAACCTTATTCAATAGTACAGTATTTGCCCTAGCATTTTATATTCCCAATATTATTTTTTTATATTTTTAAAAATTAAGTTTATTGGGGTAACATTGGTTAATACAATTATATAATTTTCAGGTGTACATTATCATTTGACATCTGTATATTCTATTGTGTGTTTACCACCCAAAGTCCAGTTTCCTTCAGCTATCATACATTTGAACCCCTTTACCCACTTCACCCTCCCCCTATCCCTCTATATTCGACCCCCTTTACCCCGTCTACTTCTCCCTTCCTCCCCCACCCCCTGTCCTCTGGTAACCACTAATCTATAGTCCATGTCCATGAGTCTCTGCTTGTCCTGTTCCCAGTAGCATTTTTAAGGGTTCTAAAGTGAGTCTACCCAAGAACTTGGCAGCAGCAAACACAAACACACACACACACACACACACACCAGCACCGCCGCCGCCGCCGCCACCGCCACCCTCTCCAATAATCCACTCTTGGCTGAAACAATCAACAGCATCCTAATCAACTTTTCACTTACCCTAACTGGAGCACCTTCACATCCTTCAAATTCTGGCTTCCTTTATACTATGACTATCACAAGACATTAATTTAGCTCTAAATTTTGACACTCCACCTGTTCACCCTTTACTTCAAGTATTTTCTCTTAAATACCATTATTTTCACATTTCTCCAGAAGGGATACTTAAATACATCAACAGCCCAATTACAAAACCAACAGCTGCAGCCAGGATCTGAACACACATACACACACACACTAATTAATATCCAATCATATCTCTCAAGCTTGTTCCTACCACTGATCAAAATCAGTGGACCAGGAAGAAGGAAAAAACTGAGGCAAGGTTGTTGTCATCCTTTCACTTTCCCTCACGCCTGTCCCAACCCGCTCCCCCGCCCCCCAGGACACACCAGGACCTCGTACGACACCCCATCCACCGACCTGCCACAGCTGCCACCCGCCGCTGCCTAGAAAACAGTCATAGCCTTTGTTAAAATGTCCATGAGCACAATGGACCAGAAGACGGACACATTCTCCGGGGCCGGGTGAAGGAAAGTCACACGAACATCACGCCCATCTTGGCACTAGCCTAGGGCGACAGCCCGTATGCCCCAAATCCTTTGCCCGCGACAAAAAACGTTCCTGGCAACTCTGCGGGGGAAGGGATGGCCCGGGACGCCACTTAGGGGCACCAGGCGGAGGGTACTGAACTTGAAGCTGGGACACCCTCCAACGCCATTGGCGAGCCGCCGGGTTTTGCCAAGCCTGAGTAAGGACTTCCAGCCTCACTAGCCCTTTCCTTCAATTTTTCTCTCACGCATACCCTCACCCGCTAACGCCACCACGCACTCCGCTCCCCACGCGGCAGGGGGTCGGACACTGTTAGGCAGCGCGGCCCCCTTCGCCCTCCCTGGCGGATTTCTCCTTACGGGACTGAAGGCTCCTCCGACAAGTTACCCGTACACACCCCGAGTCCTCCCGGGAGGCTCGGCGGAAACCTTGTTCCTCAACAGCTAGCCCTGCGCAGCCACCTTACTCACCGAGCACCCGCGCCGCTACTCCGCGCACTGCGAGCCGCCAGCTGCGCCTGCGCTCTTTCAATGCCGCCAAGCCCAGTTGGAGCCCCAAGCCAAGAGCGAATGGGCAGGGCGGTGGGAAGCGACTAGGCTCAGAAAGGAGGGGCGGGGCCAGGCGGGGTGGGAAACAGAAGGGCGGGGCTTTCACCGCCTCGGTCCGGAAGACCAAGCGCTCAGGACTCTCTCTGCTGGAGCTCTCCACTCTCGAGGTCTGTTTATAACCCTAGCGGAGAACTCCTCGAGGCCTCTCGGTGCACCCCCACAGTCACCCTCCAGAAAGCCTGGTTTGGCAAACCAAGCTAGCCAGCCCCCAGGGCCACCATGCCTTTCCTTGGAGCCACTCTGGATCCTCGCCAGCCCTTCATTCTTTTGCATGCCTATCTCCCCACTGCTTACCCACCCACCCCCGCCCACTCCATGGCATTTGTTATTACGGCGCGCAGTCCTCATTCCTCCAGAGGTGAGAGGCATGGAGATTTTTTACTCACAGGACATCCTAGTTAACCTGTTTCTTTTCTGTATGCGAGCCCAGAACGTGGTTGGTGACTTTCCAGTCATTGCCCAAGATTACAATTTAGCCCTTTCTCTGAGAACAAGCTCTATAGCTGCTGTTCCTGGACTTTTGGTGACAACAATCTGGTTTTTTTTTCCTTTAAAATAGGCTTCAAAAAACATCCGAATATCTTGGGAAGAACACAGGTTGTCAAATTAGACTCATCTTTGACCCTGCTTTTTTAGGTAGCCACCTTAGAATTTGAGCCTTCTAAAAGCCCCTCTGAGAAACAGAATATTCAGTCTGTGTTGTTGTGTGGATTTTGCCCTAATGGTTTCAGGTTTTCTGACATTTAGCATTTGAAGAAGCCTAACTTGATTATTATTCCATGCTGCATGCATGCTTAGTTTTAAGTTCTATGATTTTCTGTTTAGAATCTGGTCAGCTGTGGGATCTCACATGCCTTCAGATCAGCTATTAAAAGAAACACGCCTGGGTAAATCTGAAGTAAAGTGGCCTGTGGGCCTAAAGTGATTTATTCCAAATTATTTTTCCTTTATTCTTCTTTTTTACTTTAGTTATGATGGAATTGAGAAACATTTAGCTTATTAAGAATAAAAGAATTGCCGGAGGGCCATACCAAGAGTCCTTCCCTGCAAGTATTTTGACTGTTAAAGGAGCATTTTTGGGGAGGGCCTGGTAATTGTCCTAAGGGAGCTGAATATCCAAAACTTCTTCCCATTAACCTCTGCGGTTCTTCCATTTGTATATTTTGGAAATCAGGCTTTCCTGAACTCTTTTCTATTTCACATTTGTCAAAGAAGCATAGGGGGATTATAGTGAGGACAAATTGCAAGAGGGAATGTATATTGGTAAATGTAGACACAGACGCTGGAGGATGATGAGTGAATCTGTAAGTGCCAGGAAGTAGGACCTTGTCTTATTCATTTGTTTTCAAATTGTTTCACATACAGAAGGTGCTAAAAAAAAAAACTGGGTTAATAAAGATAATTTTTGCATCCTAAATAGTTGTGTATATATGTTTGTTAACTTTCATTTGATTACTGGGTTTATTTTCTTATTTTATGTCTGAGTTTGTCAGGATATTTTGTTTGAAGTGACCCAAAGTAAAATGAAGTGGCTTAAGCAAAAAGAGAAAGTTATTGTGTAACCCAAGTTGCCAAAGGCTAAATCTATGATTGGCCTTAGGAATAGATGGAACCAGCAACCAAAATGCTTCAGATTCCAGGTTAGCCTCTCAACCCTGCCTCTCTCAGACAGGGTCAGAATTCTTTCAGAACCTCTGAAAGTCATGTTTTGTAGACTTAGAACATGGCCTCTGACAATTTATGGGCTCACACTTACCAAGTTGTTACCACACAGAATGTGCCTCTCCTCTCAGTTCCAATTTCTATAATATCAGATAAAGAGCACAATTGGATGAAACTGAGTAATGTAACCATTCTTGGAGAGAAAGTGCATGTGTGGCGTAAGAATGATACCCCCAGTGGAACCACGTAGTTGGAGAAAAAATGAAGAGAAAATTTCTAAATAATGAGAACAGAGGGTAGAGGGGGGGATGCTTTTTCAAGAGAAAAGAGCTGGACAGACAACAAAACATTCACCATGGAACAATTGTATTTAAGGAATATAGCCTTAGAATTGTCATTTTCTCTCTCTCTCTCTCTCTCTCTCTCTCTCTCTCTCTCTCTCTCTCTCTCTCTCTCTCTCACACACACACACACACACACACACACACATTCAAGTATTAACCAGTCTTAATAATGTTTCTGTATTGCTTTCCTGTGGCTGCTGTAAAAAAAAAAAAAATTACCACAAACTTAATGGCTTAATACAATACAAATTATTATAGCTCTAGAGGTCAGAAATCTAAAAGGGGTCATAAAATCAAGGTGTCAGCAGAGTTGAGTTCCTTTATGAAAGCTCTAAGGGAGAATCTTTTTTCTGGACTATTCCACATTCTAGACACCAGCCACTTTCCTTGGTTCATTGCCACCTTCCATCTTCAAAGCCAGTAATTACATTAAATTCTAATACACTGACAATTCTGCCTACCTCTATCACATTTAAGGACCCTTGTGATTACCTTGAGCCCATCCAGATAATCCAAACACAATCTCTTTATTTTAAGGTCAGCTGATTAGCAACCTTAATTCTATCTGTAACTTTAATCCCTTTTACTATGTCATATAATACTTCCACAGATTCTGGATATTAGCTCATGGGCATTATTATCCTCTCCACAGTCTTTATTTTCATAAAAACGACAGAGTGTAAGACATTCGTTCCCAAACTGGAGCACTTGTAAAAAAAAATACCGATGCCTGGATACCACCCCCATATATTATTTAATTGATCTAAAGTCCATTGACCCTCTAAACACACACAAACACACACTGTTGATTAGATCTGGATGGAGACACTTATCCATGTTGGGCCAATCGGAGAATTTCCCTGGAGATTTAGAATGGGAAGAGGGAAGTGGTAACACTGGGTGTCTGGGCCTATAACATATCAACTTAGGAGCTATGGTATCAGGAGAAGTAAGAATAAAACAAGTCTGAGGGGGATGGAAGAGAGAGAAGAGACAGAAAGAGAAAAGAGGTAGACAAAGCAGAGCTGAGCCTAAATACTCAATCTGTCTCCTGGTAACAGTAGCATTCTTTCCCAGGGCTTCTGTGAGGTACCATTGCATTGTTAAAAACTCTTATTTGACTGGAGCTAACTAATATTGTTTTCTCTAGCACAAACCCAAAAATGTTCTAATTAATACATAATATGAGCTTAATTTTCCTCCAATTACTTTTTTACACTATGTCTCTTGTTTAAGAAATAAGGCAAATTTAAGAACCAAACTGTCAGTTTGTATTCCAAATGTCTACTTCATTAGCACCTCATCTCCTAGTTATCCCATATTCTTACACTTTTCCTTCCTCTTAATAGTTACTCAAAGGCCCAGAAGGTGCCTCACAAGTTACCATAGCCTAATCCTCATTCAATAGTCCAGTCTTCCTAAGACATACCAGTTGGGGGTAGATTAAGTTCTCTGTCTCACTGATGTTAAGTAAATATTAATGACCTGCAAATCAAATCTCTAGTCCTCGCCCTTCTCCTAATCTTCATATCTATAGTTACAACTGACTAATGGATCATTCCTCCTCAGTTTGTAAGAGAGGAAACTCAATTTTTCTTCCAAGCTGTGCCTTTCCTCCTGCATTTTCCTTCTTTCTGAATGAAACCATTATGCAGCCCTATAACACACATTAGACGTGGTAGTCACTCATGACTTCTTCTCTATCCTCAATTGTTGAATCATTCTACCTTGTACATGTCTTACATGTTAATTCCTCTTTCCTGCCTCACTTCAGATTCATCATCAATCACCTGATCTATAACATGATCTCTCAACTAATTTCCCTGTCTTTAGTTTCTCTCAATTCCAATCCACCCTTCTCAATTCTGCCAGATATCTTTATAAACACAAATATGATCAAACCATTGTATTTATTAAAAATATTTTATGACTCTAATCCACTTTAACATAAAATACAAACTCCTTAAGCAAAAATATTCTACTAATTATCTGGCTCTAATGCATCTTTGTAAACTCATTCCCCTATCTATCATATATATCCTAAGCTACTTTCTATATTTGCCTTATACTTTCATGCTGCTGGGGCTTTTCTTTTCTCTCTGTATAGCAGAAACATTCTTAAAGACGAGCTCAAAAGACACCCACTGTGTAAGGTCTTCCTAGTACCACTCCATGCAAAATAAATTAGTTATTGCCACTCCCCTTGCAATCCTAGTACTTGCATCATCCTTATTCTTAAGGCTTATGCCTTAATGAATTTATTGCTGACTCTTCCTCTTCACTGAGATCTCTTTGAAGAGAGGGACACTGTAGCTCTAACATTAATCACAATGTCTGACAAATACCAAATCAAGAAAAATTCTCAGGGGAAAAAAAAGAAATAAGAAAATTCCATGCTGTCTTCTGCTCATGACTTGCCAGGTTATTTTTAATCCCTTGTGTTAACGATCATTTTACTTATTAGTTCTCCAACTTCCAATCTGATAGTTTATGCCCAACACCTCTTTCAAGAATTGGTTCAAACATTTCTGTCCAGAAAGAGTTTAGGTGTACACCCCTGATCAAACCCCTACTCTGACAAACCCTTTCTTTTAGGACTTTTCATCATATATGTGTTTAATCTATACTGATGATATAATTTTAGTTTATTCTGACTTTCTCATATTGCTCCATGTGTTTACATTTTTAACTCCTATGTGGTTGGTAAACTGCAAGAAAGAAGGGTTTAATTTTTATATTTCCTTTGTATCTTCTCAAAAAATCTTGGTAAACATAAAATAGCATGAGAGATCATATGATAGGCCATAAAAACATGGTCAATAAACTTAAAAGAATTGAAATCATACAGAGTATGTGGTCTGACTACGATGAAATTAAATTAAGAATACATATATCTAGATAAAATTCATATATTTGGAAATTAAATAATAAAAAGTCAATTATGTTTTATATGCTAGT